GTCCTTGGCTCGAACTGTGAAACTCAACGAACAACGATCTCTACCAGTTACTTTCTTTCTTGTTTTTTTTTTTTATTATTATACATAAGAATGTATAATAATATTATTTTTTGTATCAATCAAGAAAATGTGGTCAGGGTTGTGTTTTACTTTAAATGTTACACACCGCTGATACAGAATAGAATTAAGAAATTTGATTACGAATTAAAAAATTAAATGCGACTTACTTATATAAAAGTAAATAATAAAAGTTGTATTTTTTATTTAAAGTATTAAGTAAATTAATAAAAGTTAAAAAAAAAACGAATTCTTTCCGGTGCTTACCTTTTTTCTAATTTACAAATTTCACTTTTATCGTTAGACTCATAAGCAAAAAGGTCCACAAAAAATGAGGAAAAATAAGAAGAGAGAAAAAGAGAGAGAGAGAGAGAGAGATAAAAGGGAAATGAAAAATGTACCATTGCACGCTTTCGCGAAAGATTATTTCATGAAAAATAATTTGAAAGAAATCTTCCATGAGATCAGCCAATTGTGTAGGTATATATATTTGTATGTGTGTATGCGCCAGATTAAACAGAGAAGGGAAAAATATTCTTTTGCAAAAAGAATATCCTGCTTAACGAATTAAAACCTATCTCTTTTTAAAATAATCAACACGCATTTGCATACATATACATATAAATATATATATACATACACACACAGAGAGAGATATATATCAACTGGTACTGATGCAAAAACACATAAATCTGACTTATACGCATGGAAGGAACACACACACATGCATATACGTATATGAAAAGATAAAGCATGCAAATATAGAAAGATAAAGATAAAGAAAGATAGAAAGACAAACGGAAATAGAAATAAGGGAGAGAGAGAGAGAAAGAAAGAGAGGCGGGGGGGACAAATGAAAATAAAAATCTTTTTATTTTAGAAAAAAAGAAAGAAAAAGAAAGATAGACTGACGGATAGAGCAGACAACCGAATAGAAATAAAAAGAAAGAAGACAAATGCAACTGCAACTGCAACTGCAAATGCAACTGCATTTTGTTTTATTATATATTTCTTTAACTTTTTAACTGCAACTGCAACTGCAAATTCCCACCTTTATCTGAAAAAATGGAAGTTTGTCTCTTTTTGACTAGCCTATATACGCAACAAAAAAAAGAAAACAAACAAAAAAGAGGATAAACGAAGAGAAAGAAATAGATATATATATCAGCAAAAATAAAACCAATACACGTATACATACGCATATATTATCATATAGAAAGAAACATACATGCATACATATTTTATGTACATACATGTGTGTGTATTATACGAACTTGTATAAGTATCATACACCATACAAGTAAAACTAGTAAACCGTGTGCGATATATTGACATAAAACGCATTTGCGAAAATCTTCGCATATATAATAGGGTTCCCTATCTAAATCTAAAATCCAGGCTTAAGAGATAAACAGTCTATTAGAGGGTGGCACATACAACCCTACCGGGGATTTCTCCAAAGCTACGATATAACGACTAGATCAAAGGTATCGAATTGATGAGGGGGATATCATTTTCTATCATTTTATCTCTCTCTTTCTAAACTCTACCCCTCGCTCACTTGTATCAACCACCAAGATTTACTCCCTATTTAAAATTTCTTTTCTACTTTGAGGGTTTCCATCCTCTCACTCCTCCTCTATTTAACCCCTCACACATTTCAACGATTCATTTTACCGTTTCGATAAAATTCTTCTCTCTTATCGAAAGAAATGGTTAGTATTATAAAAAATAATAGTCTCCATGTTTTTTCATTTAATTTTCTATTGTTTTCTCATCTTTCTCTATCTCTTAGCGCAAATGGAAAAATTGTTAAAATTTAATTTTACATTACATAAATAATCAATCAATAATTTTGTTTTCTTATTGACATGCATAAGTTTAAAAAATGTCATGATTTACGATATATCATTAGAAAAAGTATTTAAAATAAAACATTGAAATAATAATGACTATTACTAGTATAGTTATCACGTGGATTTCTGTGCATATGTATTTGATTGCTATAAATGGGGGAAATGATCGATACTGTAACAATATGCAATTTAATAATTACGATAATAATACAAGTAAGAATTGTAATAATAAAAATAGGTAATTAATGTAAATCCATGGTAATAACATAATAACAATCATTCATACATATTAAATTATTCGATATCACGAATGTGAATCATAAATCCAATAAGATTATTTGATTTATTTATCTATACACATCTATCTATATCTTTCTCTGTTTCATTAATTTTATCAAATTTCTAATTTGACTAATGATACATGTATGATAATAGCGTTACGTATACAACAATGAATCATATAAAATTATTCATTATTTCTCTTCATATATATCTACATTTCAATTTATCTATATATATATATATATATCTACCAATTAGTCAATCTATCTATCTATCTATCTATCTATCTTTCTGTTACAAATTCCTATTAATTCTTAATTCGCATAATAATATTATACAAAAAAATAATATTACGTAGACAAATATGAATCATACAAGATTATTCAATATCCTCATATTATTTTTCTAAATATAATCCTTTCCTTATCTAACATTTTCTTTCTATTTTATCTCACTAATTCTTTCGAATTCTTAATTCCAATTTGGAAATCGCTTAGTTCGCGTCTCCTGGAGGAAGGGGAAAAAAAAATCGCATATTTATGAGCAACTGCTTCGCGCACTCGTTTTAAACCTGCACTATGTTTAACAACTTCACCATTTCTGTAGATTCTAATATTTGCTCGTAACTTCACACGCCTCTATTTGTCCTGTCTCTCTTTTTCTCTTTCTCTCTTTTTCTCTTTCTATCTTTTTCTCTTTCTCTCTCTCTCACACACACACACATACACACACTCACGACTAGCGGTTCTCACAACCGGTTATTCCTTGGTCCAGATTATATACGGGTTAAAGAGAAAGTTTTCGGTATTCAGGCTTCCCCCTTCTCTCCCCCATTCCCCTTCTCTCTCTTCCTCTTATTATCGAACTTAATATCTGAATTTCGTTATATTCGCTATATGATATTTATTACAAGCAAGTTGCAACATTTAGCCTATCGTATTATCGTTTCTAAACGTGCACGAACTGTATCCTATTTAAACAAAATCAAGAATAGAATTAATATACGTATGTGGTATATATATTTATATATATTATAAGTAATGAAAAGTAGGTTATAAGGGAATAATGATTGGTAGATCAATAAATAAATCGTAAGAAATAATTGATCTGGATTCACCCACGTTAACCCATATTCCGATATCTCATATGTATCGGATTCTTTTCTAGACAATCTAGAATCTTTTAAAAGGATATTCGAAAAGAGAGAGTAAAAATCAGGACACGTAGAATTTCGAAGGCTCGTCTCAACTCAACTCAGCTTGGCTTGAGTGAATAAAAGATGATATCGAGTGTAATCGGTATCTATTCACCTTTTCGAGTATTCTCTTCTAACGTATTAAAGAACAAGACGAGAGAAAGGTAATAAGCTTGTTCTACAATACTATGTTCTCTTTCTTACGCATTCCGATCGATATCCGAGTCCTCAATGTTACAAAGTCTTTCTTTAAATACGAAATACCTTAGTGAAATGGATTCTATCTTATTAATTCTTATCTTAAATTAGCCTCTCCCTCCCTCAAAAAAAAAAATAATAATATAATAAATAAATATAATAAATTCTCTTGTAATACGTAATATTAATTAATATTCATTTAAAATAATATACAAAATTGACATTAGTCTTCTTTATATAGAAGGAAAACAAATAATTTTAATTACGAATCATATAATTTCAATTTATTATTGGAATTTATTTGAAACCGATCACAACCCCCTACACACCCCATTTACGGTGCTCACATACAAGTAATAAAAGTTTCAATGATTTCGTATAAATTTGTTGGAGGTTTTAAAATGAATTGAGAAATCGACAAGAACCATTGGATTTTTTCCCATAAAATAGTCCCTAGGGGGGCTGGGGGAAAGAGGGAAAAGAAAGTGGATCTTGTGGTGGTTGAACGAAGGGTGAGAATCCGTTTCTCAGATTTTACGACGCGACGCCACGTTCCGCTTGAGAATCCTTCTTTTCTTTTTTTTCTTTTTACTTTCTTTTTACTTTCTTTTTACTTTCTTTTTACTTTCTTTTCCCTTTTATTTTCTTTCTCTCTTTCTCTCTTTTGCTTTTAGACATTTGACGGAACTTGAAATATAAACGACTCTAACCCCCTCATCGAGACGTCAACTTTAACGACAAGGGTAGGGGGATGATAGATCGACCTTTTTTCAACGACTTTATATGGGGATGTAAATATATACATAAATATATATGCATTATATATATATATATATGATATAGATTCGCAATGATAAATTGGATCACTCGTGAACCGTGTATGATACTTCGAGAATCGTTAAAATGATTTAAATAAAAATAAATATCTTTGATAAAAAATAAATACTTCATCTCGTTAATTGAAAATCCGGATCAAATAAATTATTTGCGAAAAATTATATAAGCTTAGATCTTATTTATGATCTTCGTGAAAAAAAAAGAAAAAAAAAAAAGAAAAAATAAAAACAGTCGAGAAGAAATTATGGATACAAAAATTTATTACGATTTAATAATAAACGAAAATCTTATTTTAATTATATTGAGAGGAATAAACTTGATTGAGTAAAATAGTATATAGAAAAAAAAAACCAAACGATTTTAATAGAAATTAAAAATACATCCTTAAAAGTGGTATGATCATCAATAAAAAAAAAAAAGAAACTATCACTGCGATCTTTGATAAAAAAAAAATTTGTACGATTATTAAAAAAAAAAAAACTAATAAAACTTTAAGTGTTAACACAAATCTAATTGTTTATTTGTTTCTAATAAATAAATTGTTCTTTTATTTTTTTTTTTTATTTCTATTCCAGGTCGATTTCGGTGACATTTTCATCCCACCGGATTTAGAGGTACCAAAGCCACGAGTGTTGCCTGAATTTTCAAGATTGGCACACGGCCTTCGTAGCGGTAATATCAGCATCCTTGATAGCAAAACTATCTATATTCCAAATTTGCATTACGACGGTGCTGGTCCAGATGCCTATTTTTGGGTTGGAAATGGCATGGAGCCACATATTTTGGGCATTAAAGTACCCAACGAAATAGGAAGGTCAGTAACAATAATTAAACATTTATATATAATACAATTTTATCATTTTTAAACTTGCTATCTAGTATAATTTTTCATTTTTAATCATTTCAATTATATATATA